CGCTCTTCCGATCCCCCCAAAACCCCAAAACCCCAACAGTATTTCAATCTAATCAATTATTATATCTTAAAGTTAAATTTCTAATTTTTAATATATATTTTTCAAAGTGCTCTTATGTGAGAGTGTCTTGATGATGGATTGTCAATCTTATGACTGATACTTTAATTTTTACTAGGAGCGACTATTCTGGTACTGAGTAAAGTTTCGCATGAACCTCCAGCTTCTATAGATATTTCATTTTTAGTGTAATTTCTTCGATGCAATTAGCCAGATTAATTCATGATAGCTTTCACGTTTTACATTGATCTTTAATTTTATTTATGCTAGGGCTTAACAAGATAGATTGTTGAAGTCTTGGTTGTACTTTAACTTTTATCAATGAAAGCTCTTAATTGACTGTGAGTTTATGAAAGATTACTAATACCTTTTAACTTATTTGTACTATTGGGAGTATTCTTATTCTTAACTAAAGTTTTGTTGATTGGGGACTTGATTATTTTTTAAGGAATTACTGGTATTTTTGAAGACCATATTGCTGGACTAAGCCTGCCACTAGATTTGCTATCTTGAGCGCTTGAGTTATTTTTCATATGATTAATGAAGATTGTTTGATCTGAGTTACCATGATTCCTATGGTGTCTGGGCTGATTTTATTACTATTAAAGATGTATTATGGGAACGATTTGATAATTTTATTGATTGAAATTTGAAATTTGCCTTTGTTGAGTTTCAACCATGCTTGAGGCATTTGACAATCCTACTATTTCTTCTATAATTGAGCATTTAGTTTCCTTTTACTTATGCTGATTTTGATAGTTTAAACTTTCACTAAACATCTAAGTATCTTGGTACTCTTAATACTGTGGCACATCATTATGAGTGTAAACTATTTTAGTGCTCACATTATTATTTTCATTCTTAAAAAGTGTATAACTCTGATTTTTCAGGTTATTTATAGGCATAGAGTTAACTGCTTTTGTTGTGCTATGGACAATGTTCCTCGAATTTATTCTGTCTGTTACTTATTATGGATAACTTTACTATTTTTAAAACATGATTGGAGATTAAGCTAGATGATTCTAGTTTATTGGATAGAATTATGAGGTCATTGTAAGACTCCTTTAATGATTATTTTTCTCAGTACTTTTATTTAAATTATCAAGGTTGGTTTTAGTAGGACTGCTATTTCTAACAATATTTTTATCAACATTTTGGCTAGACGAGACAACTTCTCTCTAATTATTACTCATAGATCTAATCTTACAATTATCCAGTCTTGATTATTGATTAGTTCTAATTTCTGTGATGTTCATTGAATCATTCGAACTTTCTCTTCTTAGCTTTTAATGATAGCTACTTTTATTAGTGACCTTCTTTTTATTAGATTGAATATAATTTGTATTAGCCTTTGAATTCTTTGATCTCTCTTAGCTCGACTAATTTCGCTAGCTTGCCATTAATTTTCCTCCAAGACTGTCATTAGATCCTTAAATAAGCTTGAGATTCGCATTTCTACTCTTTATTATAATAGCCTGTTAATTATGCGATTGATTTGATTTAGCATTGTTAAAACTCTAATAAAAGCTATTAATCTAAATGTTTCCATTTTAGGTTTAAAATCCATTTTGTTTTTATGCATTACTCTTGGGTGTATTTCTATTGTACTAATGTGAAATACTACTCATATTATTATGCCTAAGAGACCCATAAACTGGTTCAGTGTGAATAACATTTGACTCATACATTTAGGCCTCCTCTGTTTGAGAGGTCATGTAATTATTCATATTTGATATCTATGTTACATCTCTATGGCTAGGAATGTTTTAATCTACTTAAATAGAGTCGAAATTCAAATGGTGCTTGATATCATTAAATTTCTTCTTATCATTAATTGATTTAGTCTGAAACACTGGAAGCTATCTGCTAGAAGAATCTTTTTTTTTCCTATCTTATTGTTATGACATCATCAAAACATGTGATTTTTGCTTGGATGGCTAAATAATAGAAGAATTTTTACTAAGCTCATTGCTAGCGAGTAAATTTTTCTTAAAATTCTATTCTATCTATTAACTTGAAGTTTATTTATTATCTGATTAAATAGAAGGTTAAAGTACTGATTTACTAGGTTTGTAGCTTAAATGAATAGACTTATGATTAAGTTATCTATTTCTACTCTGATTATATTAATTAAGTGCTGACGTCTTCTATGATTTAATGCTTTAACTATTTTGATCGTTAATTTACGATTGAGATTGAGAGTCTTGCTAGTATTATACACTTCTTTACTTATCCATTGTGATACTGTTAAAGTCTGTTATTTTGGTAATATGGTGTTGGGATAAAGTTTTATTAGTTGTAGTTTTGACTCCTTTGTATGATTGAGAGGAGTAATTTCCTACTTTTTGAATTTTTTAGTTTCTTGAGGAGCCTGTCTAGTTCATCTACTATTTATTACTGCTAGTAATTTAATATACTGAAGGTGGTGTTCTATTATCTAAACTAGATTATACTTAAGTGCTCTTAATTGGTGATTGCATAGCCTCTTTTGGATTAAATAACTGAATCGCCCTGCTTTGAATAATCTTTTGATTTGTTACCTAGCTCTCTTTTTTGCTTTTAGATTTAGCTAGATGCTACTCAGAACTTTGTCTTTGCATCTTTTCTTGAGACTAATTTACTTGAACCAAATAAGATTCTGGTCTCTGAGGGTATAGCAGTGATCTAATGTAATTTTGTTTTTGATCATCAGTTAATTCGTTTAGCAGCTTTATATTAATTCCATTTTGATTCTAAATTTCTTCTAACTGCTATTACTCTTGTGGTTGCTAATTATGTAGACTCATTTCTTATCTCTCTCTATTTTGAAGAAAAGGGAATTTGAAGTTTTTGTTTACCAATGATCCTGCGAACTTCTCCTCGATTTCTTTCTAAAATCTCCATAGCTCTTCTTCTATCTCTTAATTTACATATCCAAACCCTCGTTTAGGATGGTTAAAAAAGAGATGTCTTCGTTTCTCATTTGTAAATGAGGGTATCATTTTAGCATAATATCCTTGTTGCTTATGAGATCGATTCAAGCTATTCTATCTTTATTTTCTGAGTTCCAGTCTCTCATCATTTTCTCCTGTAATTTAAGCAATATTCTGGACTTCTTATACCTCAAGAAACGATGATTAATAGCTCTCCTCATTTTCAGACTCTTATAGAATATCCTACACTCTTCTATGGTCTCCACTTAGGATTTAATGTCCTTGTATCCCTTATGTATGGAGTGACTGTTAAATCTAAGGTGGTGGCTCTGAGGCTTCTCTTCCTTTATTTGCCATCTTCTTTATCATTTACTGCTTACCTCTATCAGCTTCTAGATTGTAATTTTCGCCTTGTTTACCTCTTTCCCTCTAAACCTAACTTTCTATACAACAAAATTAATCAGTTAGTTAATTATACATTGCTCTGCATGATGATTTTGCCGACTTCTGTTATTCTAGGATAAATCATATTAACCGCTCATTTGGGTGTATATTTAATTGTACTGATCGACTCCCTGAGTACTCTTTAAAAATTCGTTAAATTATTGGCCCAAAGGAGAAGTTTCCTTATAATTAGAGTTTAAATTCATCATCGTTGTTAAATTACTTGAGTCCATTAAATTTAGATTGTAAATATGTTTTTTCCAATTAATTTTCATTGATGCTATTTTTGATTGGCGGGGTTTTGGGGTTTTGGGGTTTTGGGG